GCAAAATGGGATTCTCCTTATTATGTACACGTTTTAGAAACTGCTGATTCCCACTGTAACGGTCCTCAATCCCTTTCACTAAGGTACTTTTTGGTCAAACAAACTTTCAAAGAAAAACATCCCTGACATTTTAGGTTTGTGTAGAATGCTCTCAGTCTTAAAGATCTCCTTTTAAATTCATTTTTAAGCAATGCATTCTCTCCAACCTGAAAACTGCTTTTTTAGTTTATATTTAAATATGATGAAGTGAAAGAAGTCAAACAGATAAAGACAAACACTGTATGATCTCACTTATATGTAGAATCTGCAAAAACCCCCGAATTCATAGATAGAACAGATTGGTGGTTGCCAGAGGCAAGGGCTCGGGGAGTGGGTGAAACGGGTGAAGGTGGCCAACAGGTGCAAACTTCCAATTATAAAACAAATCAGTCCTGGGGATGTCATGTACAGCATGGCAACTACAGTCAATAAGACTATATTGTATATTTGAAAGTTGCTAAGAGAGTAGATCTTAAAAGTTCTCATCACAAGAAAAAAAATTTCGAACTATGTGTGGTGATAGATGTTAATTAGGCTTATTGTGATGATCATTTAGCAATATTTACATATACCGAATCATTATGGTGTACACCTGAAACTAATATAATGTTATACGTCAATTATACCTCAATTAAAAAAATATGATGTGTGCCGCATCTCAAATATTTTAACAAAATGTGACGACATACGTAAGCCCACTGCTTGTACTCTCTCTTCAACTGGTGGAAGTCAATTACCTTGTAAGATATCATTAGACAATCTTTACGCAGATCAAATTGTAAATATTTTTATGTGATTTAAGAAAAATAATGACTACCTAGTTGTGGGTCAATTTCTAAATACTTGTTGGTGAAAACACTTATTGATCTTGTGTGCTCTCAAGACCCTGCTGATCTTCATCGATCTCAAGGTGATGCGCCTTCCTCATAATCTTCACAGCTTTCCCGTCAGAAACCTGGGTCAAAGACATTAGGTTCTAGCTTAGCAATACCTTTGCACTTTAGCTCTGGGACAAACTAACCTGCACTCGGGAGAGATTTCTGATATGACTTTTGAAGTGGTCCTTCTCTCTCTGCTTCTAACTCTCACCCAAGTGTGTTTGTTTTATGGAATCACTTTAGGGGATCAAGCTCATCTTCCTAGGATGGTCCACTTTATTTTGAAACTACCTTTGTTTGCCTAATCCATATGAATTGTAAGTTAGCAATAGCAATCATAGAATTTGGAACTTTTCTCCCTATTATGAGTCAGACAATTTAAAGGCAGTGCTAGGCGTATTTACTTGACATCTATGGGTGCATTTTAATGAGCTGTAGGATAGTGGACTCCACTGAGGGGACAGGATCGCAAGATTGCTGTCAAGTCCCAGTCCCAGAGCCAGAAGGGAGCTGCAGATTTCAGTTCACTCCTTTCTCTGTTCTCTGTTGTGTTGTCTGTAAAGTATGGATATTGGCCACCTGAGTTTAAATGAAATCATAATTCATATGAAAGTACTCCAAAAAGCATGCATGTTCTTAAACCACATTTTCTTTAAATAACATCAATGGACAATAAATATTAAAAATATCATAAATTAAAACATCAAAATCTCATTAGCCAATTAGTGAAAACACCCAGAAAATTAAAAAAAAAAATCCTTGTATTCACAAAGGTGTGGAGAAATGGTCATACTCCGGCTGATGGGGGTGGATGCCAGGACGAGCATTCTGTGGGCAGTTTGGGTACACAGCAAATCACACTACGACGCAGAAATTTCAATTGCAAGTATTTATCCTACCGAAATAGTCAGAAATATTGAGTGGCGTGTTCTTTGTATTCATCTGAAATAGTGAAAACTTGAAAAAAATCTATTTTTTTTAATTCTAATAGAGTATTGATTAAATTAATTACTGTACATCTCAATAAGATTAGAAATATTTGATATTTAATAAAATGGGCAAATATGCATTATCTACTATCAGGTAAAGAAAGCAAAACACAAAAGTATGTTGAGCGTGATCTCTATCTTGTAGAAACACAGAAAAAAGATATTAGCACTAAAATATTAACAGTGATTTTTCTCTAGATGAAAATAATAGTTAAGTTTTATTTTCTGCTTTATTTTTTTGTGTTCCAAGTTTTCTGCAATGACTATGTATTACTTTTATTATAAGAATAAAAGTTACGTAAAAGGTATAAATGCTCTCCAAATTTTACTCTTTGGTATCTTTTACTTTTACACAGTAACTGATTTTTAATGGTCTCCATCATCTTCAGAGAAATAGTAATAAAGTAAGTAACAAGAAGTTTCACCCTGAAAAAAAGCAGAAACCTTTATTTGTACATATAGGTTTCTGAGAATTCAGATGGAGTTTAGACATGCTTAAACTAATCTTAATAGCTCTTTAAAGATTACCAATTATGGAAAAGTAGGGACACAAAACTTAAAAGTTTTGAATCACTTCTTTTTGCATATAATGCCTAAAAGTGTGTTTCTCTTACACAAACTATTGTCTATCAATAGTTTTTTTTCTATCACAGGTTTTATATCTCTTTAAATATCGACGTAATAACAATGAACACGCTCCCCCAACCCACGTTCAGGAATATCTCAAACTTTAAAATCCCACACTTCAAGGAAAAAATATTTGATTAGTCCTTAAACCCAAGTCTCAAGCTGCAAATGTGAATGCAAAGTAGGGTTCATTTGCACGTGCAGTGTTAGCCTAACCAAACGAAAACATGGACGCCAAGTCACTTGCCTTCCACCCCACCCCTCCCAGGCTCCTACAGGTGGCCGGGTGGCCAGCTCTCTCCAGTTGCTCAGAGCCATTTGCCCTCATGCTCCAGAAGATGCAGACCTGCTCCCCCGGGCTAAGGGAGGACTCTGGAGAAAAGGAGAGCACACAGGCCGTTTGTGGAGTCAATTCTGGGGACACACGAGACTAGATGGAGGAGAGATGAAGGAAGCAGAAATGTCTGCACAGTAAATCCTCAAACTAGAGATGTCCAGTTTCTTCCCTGGAATATTGAATCTGTCTGTATTTATACTAATCCAGTTTCCGTATTACTGGGTAGACTTGTATTCAATTGAAGTTGCCACAAACTCATAAACATTCTTTCAAATTATTTTTCAGATCCAACAGAAGATAGAGCTGCCACATTTTGCAATGGGATGTGGGCTGCAGTTGGAGGTGATTTGAAGAATGCAAGGTGTGCTCAGGGTGGTTGCTCACGTCAGTGTCCATCAGCATCACCCAAACCACTAGGCTCTAGTCCTCATGCATAGAAGCTGCCCTGGGACCTTTGTTGCCACACCCTCACCTGGGGCAGATCACACCCAGGGCGGGTCACCCCTGGGGCAGGCGGCTGAGAAAGCTCAGTCCTGGGCAAAGCCTCTTGGCCTCAGAGCCCAAGTTCTGTCAATTGTGAGCCATGTGACCCTGGGCAAGTCTCTGTGCTGTGCTCCAGGGTAGAAGTAACAGGACCCTCTGCATACAGTTGAGGCCTGAATGAGTTAACGTGTGCGGAGCACTCAGAACAGCCCTGCACGCAGGAAGTGCTCCATAAATATGACCAGGATCACCATCTCCCTGAGTAACAGTAAAGATGACCAGCGGAGCCTTCTATCCATTGGTTGGGGACCTAGGGTTGATGACAAGATAGCAATGTGGCTGATGAATCAGAAAAATGTAAGAAAGGAAGACCCAAATTCTTGCCCAAGCCCCAGGGGTCAGAACTCAGGTTGTGAGCAGCTTTCAAATCCTTAGCAGCTACACAGGGGACTGACTGAACCCAGACGCTCCCACCTCCCATCACACCACTTCACCTGCTGCTTCTGACTCTGTGACCAGAAGGCTGAAGCCGCAGGATCATGTATTTGCAGGCCTCTGGTAAAATAAATATAACGTCGAAGGGCTATTATGCAAAGACCCCATGCTCCCTCCATACACCAAGTTGTTATCCTCTGTGGCCCCTCAAGCCCAACGTACATAATGACCCAGTAATTGAACCGCAAAGTCTAAATGGCCGGAGCTCCTATCACACAGAGCTATTCACCAATGGAAACAGTCCGAGACAGGAAGCCAAACTCCCTTGCACTCTGCGCGACAGAACAGAGCCCGAGGGAACCCTGGACCCGCCCCGCCCTCCTCCTGCCACCACTGAGGGAACAGGGCCCAGGCCACCAAGGGAATTTGGAACTGGCACGGCGGCTTAGCTGCTTCTGAACAGAGCACTAAGTTCTAACGTTTCTCAGGGCATAATTTAATGAAAATGTAAGTGAAAGGTGGAAAAAGCCATTTTCCTGCCCACATCATTAAGGACTTCTGGGGCAGAAGAGGTCGGCCGGGAACGTCGTGTGTCCCCCACACAGACTGAAGCCATGAGCCTGGACCTCAGGGGTCAGGTCGTGGCACTCACAGGCCAAGAGTCCCGGTGGTCTCCTCAGTCAATCCCTTAGTGCTCCAGAGCCACCTGCGGATGTGAGGCTGGACCCAGCATGGAATCAGAGAGTGGCCACTTTTTAAAAGTCGCACACTTTTTAAAGTGCAGAAAGCAGGAGCTCCTGTTTGGAGCAACGCAGAACCGGTTCCAGGGCCCGCAGGGTCTTGGCTGCTGGAGCAAAGCCTACCGTCCTGCCCCCATCACTAAGGCCCCGGGTGCACACAAAGGATAACTGTAAACATTTTAAAATAATCCATGAGGATTCTCCAAAGGAAGCACCTCAGTCCCTCTATGTACAAAACAGCCATCACTCAACGTCTACACTCAGAAATCCGCGGCACCCGGTGGAGTTAAAAATTTTAATTACCATTTTAAAAAATGCAATACTTATCATTTGAGTGAAGCGTGTCAGCACACAAATCATAAGACGATGACTCTGAATGGAATTTCCGTTGGTAGATCGCATCAGCAATGCCTCTTGTTGCTGAAATAACATCTCAAAGGCAAAATAATGACGACGTGACAATCTACGTAAATCAAGGACTGCATGTGGCTTTATTTTACATTTGAGAAAACAGTGGATTTAATTGTGTGAACCAAAATGTACTGTACAATATTAATGATAGAACATCAAAATGTATAATTAATAGTGCATTGCTTGCTTCGTTTCATTTATTTATTTTTGTCTGATATACATGCATCTGGAAAGATGCAGGTGCCAGTAAAATTTCTCTATTTAAATCAAGCTGCAGGAACTAAATTTTATTCAAAAATTGTGGTTTTACATTATATACACAGAAATTTAATATAAAATGACAATATAAAAAGTTAAAAGAGAAAGCATACAGCCAGAAGGTACAAAGAAAGTTGAATAGATTAAAATGGTACGATATGTAACATGTAGGAGTTTTTAAGCTGATGCTGGCAATTTACAAGGAAAGGACTCCGACGTGTGCCCGATTTTTTTCATTTACCAATGCAGCACGCTATAGAAAGGTCAGCTTGTACCAAAGCTTACATTTGTAAATAACTATAAACCGCAGTATTTTACAGGAAAAAGGAAATAGCATTTTTACACATTTTTAAATAATAGCTTGCATACTGTTTTTTTTTTTTTGCCAAAAATGGCATTTTTCAGCATCCAGAGGGTTTGGGCATAGTGGCAAATGGGGTGTTTGCTGTTGTTAGTTCTTTTTGTTTTGCTTTTTGTTTTAAACGTGTAAAGTTGTGGCTTTCTAACCCCACGAGTCCTAGACAACTTTCTATCTTCCAACAGCTGCATGCATGTTTCCTTCACAAACCAGTTCTGCATATAAAAGCTCATTTTTTAATTATTAAATAAGTTTTGTGTCTGACACAGCTTTTGATCTGAATGAAATGCCTTTAAGCCTTTTTTTCTTTTTTTTTTGAGTGAAAGGCACAGAAATGCAATTACAGTCCTCAAAGGGTTAAATTCAACACTACTAGGTTCTGTGACCTTTATTGTCATGGCCACTTTGTAATTTTAGGATGTCTTTTTGTCATTGTTATTTGTGTCTTTCTTTCCTGCTAAATAAATGTCTCTGAGTAGTGTGCCCCACTATTTCCTACAAAAGATAGCTTAACATCAAGAACAGATGTTGAAAATAAAGGTCAGACTTTGACTCACGGAAAAAGAAAAATAACATGCACAATCGGACAAAGAGCATATAAATATAACTACAAAATATGTGTAAGAAAAACCAAGGTCCAGACAGGCAGTTCGGCAACAAAGGAAAGGCTGATTTCGGAGGCTCAGGCCAGGCCTAGTGCAGTACGAGGACGTTAGTGCAATGTGCCGGGGTCCCTTGCATACCTGGACGCTACTGTTTTTCCAACTCTGTCACATAGATCAGGTGGTCCTCCGGGGACTTGCCGTGGGTCTTACTAAGGTGCAGTTTGACCGCGTGCTTGCTCGCAAAAGTCCGGTTGCAGAGCTTACATTGGAATGTGGAGCCCAAGTCGTCCTCGGCGGCCCCCACGGGGCCCAGAGCTTTGTTAGCCAGGACCTTCGAGACATTCTGCTGTTCTTGAATCTGATTTAGTGGCAGCTTGGAGAGATCCTTCAAGCTGAAGCCTAAATGTGTCTCTAGATGATTTATGTACGTAGAAGCAGTTCTGAACTGAGAGGCACAATCGTTGCAAAAGAAAACAGGATGCCCTGTGTCCAGGTTCTTGAGGAACTTCGTCCCCCCTGTCCTCCTCAGCTGGTACTTCACGTTGGCCAGCCAGTGGCTGATGGTGGTCATGGAGAGCCCGGTAAACTTGGAGATGTGCACCCGCTCCTGAGGGCCCAGGTCCGACATGATGTACTTACCTTCCGAGGTCTCCCGCAGGCTCGAGGCGAACTGGGCCTGCAGGATGAGCAGGTGCTGGGGGTTCCAGTTGGACTGTCGTCCCTTCCTCTTGTGAACGGGCGACAGCTCGTCCAGCGCCTCCTCGAAGCTGCTGCCGTCGGCGTCCGATTTCTCCGACACCGTGGAGGGCGTGGAGGACTTGGGGGTCAGCCGGCCCGTGAGGTTTTTCACCATGTCAGAGATGTCCATCAGGGCGCTCTCCCGGAGAGGTGACGAGACGGAGTCGGCTGCGCTGGACACCAGGGGCTTGCTTTTGGACTTGGTCAGGTCGATGGGCTGGTCGCTGTTCTCGTAGTAGTAGCGGTCGATGGCGTCGGCCTGCTTGCCGGGCGTGGCGGGGTAGACGGGATTGTCTAGCATGCTGTTGCTGATTTTGTACAGCATGGCCAGTGGGTCGAGCGAGGGGCTCACGGGCTTGGACACCTTGCCAAGGTGGGTGTTCATGATGGACTGCAGCGCGCTCAGCGGGCTGATGAAGGAGGGCTCCGGGGAGTGGTCCGTGATGATCCCCAGGGTACTGCAGCCATTGGTGACTTTGGCTTTGAGAGGCTCGGTGCCATTTGGGGTGTGGGCGTCCACCGCGCCCTCTCTCTTGGCCTTGCCCACCTCCGTGTCGGGGCCCTTCCTCTGCTGCGGTTTGCCGCTGACTTCCTCCGTTCTAGGGAAATCTTTATTCTCTTTGGCCACGGGGGACACGGCCTTGGCCGGGGAGCCCCTCTCCTTCTCTGCAGGCTTCTCCTCCTTCTTCACACTGACCTTGCCAGTGACCTTCTCCACCAGCTCCTCCATGGCCGACACGTTGCTCTTGTGGGGCGGTGGCGTGAGGCTCCCCGGGGAGTGCAGGAGGGCACTGTGCTCTGAGGACAGCGACTTCACGCTGCTGGCGTAGGACGGCTGTATCTGCACGCTCTGCACTGCCGGCAGCGGCTTCACGGTGCCAGGCAGCTGGTAGGCCGCGTGGATGCTGGGGTAGCCGCCCCACGAGGGCGCGCCGTTCTGGGCTTTGCTGATGGCGGTGGAGACCGTGTTTTCTAGGGACTTCAGAATGTCCACCCCGCCCTTGGGGCTATCGTCCAGGTCCTCCTCACGGAGGTACTGATAGAGGGTGGTAGGCTCAAACTTCTCGGAGCCATCCTCGCTCTCCTCCTTGATCTTCTTCTCCGCGTCACTGGCGGCCGGTGCCTTCTCCTTCTCTGGCTCCTTCTTCTCTTCCGAGGTCGTGGAGCCCGCAGGAGAGTCAGGCTGCTTTTTGATGTGGGAGGCGGGGAGCCGGGTGTGCGTGGTCGGGGGCAGAGGTATGGACTGGATCTTCTCTTCCACTACAGGGTCCAGCACCAGCTGCTTCCCTTTCTTGGAGGCAGAGGTGGTCACTTTCAAGAAGTGGCCGGTGACCATCATGTGGGCGGTGAGCTGCTGCAAGGTGTCGTGGGAGCTGCCGCACTCCATGCACTTGAGGATCTGTGCTTTGCGGGCCTCGAACTGCCAGGTGTAGCTGGCACCGTTCTGGTAGCCATAGCGGTTGTTGGGCGTCACGTAGGGGTTGGCAGTCTTCTGATCCTTGGCGGACTCACTGAGTGCAGCGTCCGCAGCGATTCCTGCTGGCTCGGGAGAACAAGGGGATACCAGGTCCTGGAGCGCTCGCTTTTTGGTAGAAGGGACCAGTTTGGTGATGGCTGGTACTGGCTCCTTCAGAGGCACTTTCTGGTAATGCTTTGTCTTGATCATGTGGACGCTCAGGTCTTGCAAGGACTCAAAAGAGTGGCCGCAGTACATGCACTTGAGCACTTTCTGGGCGTCCTCCTTCCCTTCCATCTCCATCAGGGAGCGCTTCCTGGGCTTGGACCACCGCTTGGTCTTCTCAGAATCCTTGTCCCTGTTGTCGTCACGGTAGTGCCCCGTCTCGTTCATGTGCACCGTCAGCTCCACCAGCGTGTCGTAGGCAGCGCTGCAGTCTTTGCACCGGAACTTGCTGGCGCCGGTGAACACAGAGCCGTAGAGTTTGTTGTTCTGCCGGTATAGCTGCACGGTGCTGAAAAGGCTGGGCTCGGGGAGCAGCCCGTAGGAGGACGTCTGCTGCAGCGTCTTGGCCAGGGCCGCCTGATGCCAGTCATAGCCCGAGCCGCCACTGCTGCTGGTGCTGGTGCTGGTGCTGGAGCCCGAGCTGGAGCCAGAGCTGGAGCTGGGTGTGCTCGCGGTGGTCCCCGTGGTCCCCGTGGTACTGGTGGGGGGCGTAGGGGCGGGAGTGGAGCCCTCCTTCTGGCCGACATCGTTGTTGCTGGTGGTGGAACTGGACTTCTTTAAATCCAGAGCTAAGCTGGACCAGCAGGACTCCGAGAATAAGTTTGCATACACAGCCTTGATTTGTGCCAAGCTGTCCTGGGGGTAGGAGATGCTGTCTGGACCCTGCGGATCCTCTTTCTCTTCTCTGGAGGAAGAGCTTTTGAAATGGGCTAGCTGGTCGCTGTTTTCGCTGAAAGGCGACCCATAGCCGGCGTCCTGGTTCGTCGCAGTGCTGACGGGGGAGTTCTGGTAGCTCTGGGCCTCTTTGATCTCTGTCTCTTCATTGCACACATAGTCGCCCTCCTGCATGCCCAGGGACAGCCCATCCTCCTCCACATTTTCTTCATCTATTTCTGCTGCCTTCAGTTCTTCCTCAGGAACATAAGCTAGAAGAGAAAAATGAAACACAGTGAGGAGAAATAAATCATCTTCAAGGACGCGGCCTCCCCAGCAGTTAGATGATCTTTAAAAAGATGTTTCTCAGCCAAGCTCCCAGGTTACGAGGCTACCTTCGCTTTATACAAGTTCCCGCTCTGCGACTCGACGGCAGAAATCAGGTGTCAGCCAGGACACCGCACCCCACCTAAGTGCGTACTAGTCAACGAAGGAGCCTCAGCAGAAGGGCCAGCATCCGCCCCCTTCTTACAGATGCCCGTTTGGTCGCACAGCAGGAGCGGAAGGGAGCCCAGCCAGCTCCTCTGCAGGCCCTTCCTTTCCTTAGTGACGTGTGAGTCCCACATGCCTTCCCATCACGTGGAAGCTGGTTGTCCACTCTTAGGGCAAGAGATCCCACAGTCAGTAATATGGTTTCCATAAATAAAAACATTCCTCAAAGGCAAGCAATAAAAATAATCTGGTCTTCACTAAAAAAAGAACAAAACCGAGAACCACCAGCCCCCTGCCTGGCCTGGATGGAGCAGAAGTCACCTGCATGGGGATACCAGACAGGTGTCAAAGGGCTCCAGTTGTACAAGGCAGCATTACTCATAAGGGCCAAAAGGTGGAAACATGCAAACGTCCATTGACGGATAAGGGGGTGAACAAAACATGTGTATATACAATGGGAGATTATTCAGCCTTACAAAGGAAGGAAATTCTGACACATGCTACAACATGGATGACCCTGGAGGGAACTATGCTGAGCGAAAGAAGCCAGACATAAAAGGACACATGTTGTATGATTCTACTTCTATGAGCTACCTGTAAGCAGTCAGATTCATAGAGACAGAGAGCAGAATGGTGGTTCCCAGGGGATGACGGAGGGGGAAAGGAGAGTTAGTGTTTAATGGTGGCACACTTTCAGTTTGAGAAGATGAAAAAGCTCTGGAGATGGATAACGTTGATGGTTGCACGACAATATGAATGTCCTTAATGCTCCTGAACTGTCCACTTAAAAATGGTTAAAGGGGTAATTTTAAGTTATGAATATTTTACCATAATAAAAATGTTTTTTAAACTTATCAAGGCCAATAGTATATGCTACGATGGCCTACTTCAGGCTACAACTGCACAGAGGAGTAAAGTCTTGGGGTGAAGGCAGCATCTCCCAGAGGAAGCTACAGGATATTGACAGTTGTCACAGGAGTGAGGGTGGGAGGGCACATAGATCATTACAGGGCACCTGATTGTTTTCCTGCAAGACATTTGAGATCCTCTAATATGTGACCTGCCTTGTTAACTCCCAAGGGGAGAAAATTGCAGGCACCACCTCTTAACTTATTTGACCAATGTACTTTTATTTATTTTTTATTATTTTTTTGAGGGAACGATTAGCTGAACTAGTGTTCCATCAACTACTTGGGAAATGTGGGGTTAAGATATTTTCCAGAAAGCCCCTATTAAAATGCACTGATACGACCTGAGAGGGGTGTCTCATTAAATATGATCACTCATTATCACATTATCAGAGCTAGCTCCTATGGGAAGGTGGCAAAGAGCACACACGTTTTCAGGAATGGTTGATGGGAGAGACAGAGAACATCTTGCTGCCAAAAGGCGGACGCCGAGGCCAGGAGGAAGCCACAGGAGGGGATCAGCACCTGCACACAGAGGTGTTCAGACTGGGATGGAGGCAAGCACTCCTGAGCGTTTGCACACACAGGCACCGTGAACACACGTGCACACTCACACTTGCACACACGGTGAATGACAACAGAATCAATTGTTTGGAGAGGCTCCTTCAACTGGACCCTTCAGAATTCCCACACACACTGTGCTTTTCTGCATACAGGCCCATTCCCACCTAGGGCTGATGGCATCAAGCAATCTGAGCACGCGTGTTCACGTCTGTTCCACAGCTGAATGCAGAACAGCAGTCCAGTGACAAAGCCAGAATTACAGTTCTGTTGATACTGTGCTGCTTGCATGAAAACTAATCAATAGTGTGAGCCCTCAGGTTTAACTACAGGTGTCGGTGTCTGAATAATGCTCTGCATAACCCTATGGCCCTCCTGTAAAATGTAAAGCTCATAAAACTAAAAAATGATGGCCAAGTAATCACGTTTTCATTTTTTCCATAATTATTAAAGGTTTATTTAGGAGGGTCCAGCGTTCCGAGGGCTCACAGCTTAGATCCTCAGCCCAAGGGCCCCCTTCAGAAGCACCTGTCACCCTCGTCACCTCTAAGCCTGCCTGGCCTGGGCCCACCTGAACAAGGTCTACCTCTGTGGATTCTGATGGTGACATTTAAGCCCACAGGGCATCCTAGGCAGGGCAGGGCTCATTTGAAGATGGAGGCAACAGGTCCCATGGAGTCTTGGACTGACGGAGAGCTGTCCCAAGGCATGCTCCACAGTGCGCCCTGAGGCAGTTCCATGTACTAGGCTCAACTGGAGGAAGCTGCCTAATAGACTTAGTCGATCCATTTTTATGAAAGGAAGATTCATACCCTAGCAATTAATTCAAACTAACTTAAAGGAACTGTTTTATCTGGACCAGTGTGGCTCAGCTAGGGAGGCCCGTTACCATGGGTCCACTACCTGCGTGCAACTGCCCCATGTTGCAGTTGCCTGTTAGCTGGTCCGTCTTCCTCCCTGGACCAAAACAAGGCCTCCCACAGTCTACCTCACAGTAGGCACCTGGCAGTGTGTGCTAAATAAATAAATCCCTTTCATCTCAGCTCTGGAAACACAGAAGTGGGAAACTTCTTGTCATGCCTCTAGGGTGTGTTTAGCACCCACCAGTGCCCCCCTCAGAGGCAGCATCTCAGGGCCTGAAATGGCACAGACGTGATTTAGTTGGTATCTGCCTGCACCGTCCACGTCCCACTAGAGTGGAGTGTCATCAGATCATGCTCCATCCTGGGCCCATCCTCCTTCTGACATAGTCCAGTCTACACTCAGGAAGTCCCCAGGTTAAGCTAAAATGCATCTCGTTGACACTCCAAAGCCCCAGCGCAACAAATACTACTGGTGTCAGACAGAACCACCCGGAGCAAACCCCAGCCTCTTCCACGACAAGACTTCCTAAGAGGACACTGGTTTCAGAGAGCCATCCTCTCACTTGGAAACCCATGTCCACTGTTTCTCTGGAGCTGGGGGTGTGGAAGGGAGGGACCCCTAGTGTGCCTGCCCTCCTGCAGCTCATCTCCAAGCAAGGAACGATGCAGGGGGAGCAGGCAGAGATTGAGGGGGCTCAAGGAGACAACTTGGGAAAGGAGGGGAGCCCCAGTGTGGAGTAAGGTAAAGGCTGGGATCCTGCCAGCTTTCTCTGTGCTGGGTTGAGCATGCCCACCTTCTAAATGTCCCTGTGGGGATGGGATGCAGCTTTGAGTTCCTCCCACCCCAGTCACACTCCTGGGAACGGCGCGTGTTGACCCCATCGTCTACGGGGGTGGAGCACTGGCTTCCTCTGGCCACTCCTTCATGTCGCTCTTTCTGTTCCCACTTCAGCCTCTTTCTGGCCAATCTTAACTCCTCCTATGAGTCCTCCGTGCATGCTATGACCACCGAACTCACGTCCACCCCTGCAAACCTGCTGAGAGACCACGCCTCTTCCGCCCCATCAGGAGAGGCCCCGTGAGGGCAGGGCCTGGTGTTGCCTTCCGTGTCCAGAGCCTGCCCCGTGTCTGGCACGTCGACAGAGCTCCAGTTATTATGACACGACTCTATCATGACGGGGTGTTCCACAGACACTCCCAATTGCAAACAAAATGAGTTCCTCTGCCCCCTCCAGCACTCCCTCCTTCCCCAACAGCAGCACACTTCCTCCTCCTGAGTTAGGAATGTCCTCAGTCGTTCCTGAATTATCCCCAAACAAGCCGTCCAGGCAGGGAAAATGGCGGTGTCCTCAATGCCTCCCCATCCTCAAGTCCTCTACCCACCATGGCCCAGGTCTCAGTAACTCAGGCCCAAAGGCTTACACTAGACATTGGAGCTGGGCCGCCTCCCTCTCCTTGTCCTGCAGTGCTCTTCCTTCGGGCTGGCCCGGAGGTTCTGCTTGAAGCAAATCTTGAGTTACAATCTTTAAGTTCCACGTTCTGCATGGGAGGTGCCAGTCCTCACACGGACTCTCCCTCCCTGCTACGCATCCAGCCCTCGGGGCACCCCGACTGCTCTGTCCACCTGGGCACAGGCGGCCCTTTGCCCTCCCCGATCCACCTGGTGAGCCCGACTTGTCCTCAAGAGGAAGTTCGGATGTCACCTCTGTGATGATGCCTTTAATGCCCTCACAGAATTCACCATTCTACGCAGAATTGAGAGATCTCCACCTGTCTGTCCTGTTAGCTAAACTGTGGGCTCTCACTCACCTCCCTCCGCTGAGGCCCACCTGTCCACCACGGGGCTGGGCACTTCTCTTCATCTCCTCATTTCAACCCTCACCACCCTTCAAGGCAGCATCGCTGAAATGCCAATGGTGCAGAGGAGAAAACTGAGTGTCGGAGAAGTTGACGGAAGTCAAACGATGGACACAGCACTGGAATTTGGGCTGCCTGATTCCCAGTCCCGGTCTTGCCACTTTGCCACTGTCAGGACCAAATTTCTGTCCTTTTTCTCCTGAGCATCTCAATCCAGGAAATGCTGAATGAATTAATGACCCAAAGTAACTCTGTACCAAGTATAGAGAACACCCACTGCGTGCCAGTCACGGTGTGTAAGTGAGAGAAACTCAACGAAGGAGAGTAAAAGGAGAGAAACTGTCACTGTTGACACCCTTTGGCCCAATCATTTTGCTTTTGGAAGTCTAGCCTCAGAAGACGACATGAAATACAGAAAAAGCTCTACGCGCAAAGACGTCTTTCACAGTATTATTCCATATAAAACTTGCCGCAGTCTAAATCTGCAACAATGAGGGGTAAGTGATTTGTGGTTTATTCGTATGATGCGAAATTATTCAAACATTAAAAAGGATGCTTTAACGACATGCACAAAGTCATTAAATGAAAAAA